TTGACGGGTGGATGAAAATTCGTATTTACTTTAAAAAAATCAATTTATTCACACTAAGTCTGAGATGAACAATATAAGGCTTCACGTAAAAATAAAATATTAATAAGTCAAAATCTTTTTTTTTAAGTTATCATGGAAATGATAACAATAATATAAACGCTACAGGGGGTAACCATTTTAATCGAGCACATTTTTTACATATGTATTGAATTTCGTTCGTGCATTTTCCGCATACGTTTTTTTTGCAATACATACAGCAATTACTGCTTTTATTTTTATTATAGTAGCCCACTTGGCAACTTGTTCGGATTCCTGATGTTGAAGGTTACAAAACTGAAACGTCTGAACTTTGACGAACGTTCTCCTTGTTTTCTCCAGCTAATTCATCAGCTAAAGAAAATATAAGCTCCTTTCTGGATATTTTCGATCCGGTACATTCTTTATACAATATCCACGCATTTATCGCTGCCAAATCTAAAATATTATAAAAAAACCCGTCCTCTCTTGTGTCAGAACAAGAAATAATTCGCTTCCTTTTCTTGTTACGACGCATATTGAAGAAGTTCTCTATCCAAAGATCCTTCTATTTCTCTAGTTTCAGTGGATTCAGAATATTCACTGTAATCTTCACTTTCACCTAATTCATATTGATCTTCTTCGGAGGTACCCTCAGAACAATCCTCATTGATGTTGGTAATTTTGGTCAATTTCTTATTATATCTCCTGTTTCTACTCATGATTGCTAGAAAAGGGTGATCGGTGAGAGTAAAAAATACTGTGCCCAAATTCAATTACCCTATTGTAAATACTTACAATAAGCGGAGACTACAATAACCAAAACTTTTGCACACTGTCTTCGAAAAATGTTCTTACCACTGTCACTGCAGCAACTATGTATACTGAAGACCGGCTCGTGCCTTAGAGATATCTTCGAAGATCGTTACAAACCGATACTTGCGGCATACGAAACTTAAAGCATATCGCAGCCTAACGTCGGCAATCGTCGGCTGTGAAAATTGCTTGTGTGTTTGTTATCTTTGCACCAACACATGAACCGAATGTCTTTTCGATACGAAATTTAGTCTACTGCATGCTTTGAGTTTCGAATAACGCGAGGATCACTCTGGTAAGCGATTTCATTCAATGCGAAGTAACATGACACCCGGGCCACACAATTCGCTTTTTTTTTTTTTTTTAATTTAAATTGTGTTTTGAGTGAAAATTTCAATTTTTTAGAGTAAAATGGATCGAAAATCCCAAAGGAGAAGTACTGCACGTGCGGATCGATCAAAAAATAGGCGATTCCACGGCAATAGATTCACGTTAGAGGAAAAAAGTAGTTTTACGAGTGCATCAGCAGCAAAATTGAGTAAGTCAAGTGATGAAGAAGTAATTCTTGAAAATCATTACAACTACTGTATTTTGGAGTTTTTCACGGTTTTTACGGCGATTTCTTCGTTAGTGTTGTGTTCTACATGCAAGAAAGAGATTAACTTTTCTCAAACGGCTCATCGAGGACTAGGCTTTAAAATTGCATTACAATGCGGTTGCGAAAGTACACAATATATACCGTCATGTCCATTCGTCAATAAAGCCTTTGAAGTAAATAGAAGAATGGTTTATGCTATGCGGCTTTTGGGAGTTGGAAGGGAAGGGATAAATATCTTCTGCAGTATGATGGATATTTGTCAAAGAATATCAATTAGTACATACTATAGTTGTCTTGAAAATATGTATACGGCTGCATCTGCAGTTTATAACCTCATTATTGCCAAAGCTGTTGAAGAAGAAAAAGATTTAATATTAGCTTCTGATTTTAATGCTAATCCAACAGATTTTACTGTTTCTGGCGATGTGACATGGAAAAAAAGAGGTTTCAATTCTCTATTTGGAGTTACCACGCTTGTAGCTAAAAGCTGCAAGAAAGTTGTTGATATAGTTGTCAAATCTAGTTTTTGTCAAGGCTGTAATATTTGGAAAAATAAAAAACATTCCGATATTTCTTCGTATAATGATTGGTATAAAGATCATGAAAAATCGTGTACTATAAATCACAAAGGAAGTGCAGGCAAATGGAAATTGATGCTATTGTCGAAATGTTTTGTAAATCGGTTGAAAAACACAGAGTGAAATATGTTAAATATATTGTGGATGGTGATACTGAAACATTTAAGGGTATAATCGATATGGATCCTTACGATGGTGACCCAGTTGTAGAAAAAAAGAGTGCGTAGGACATGTCCAGAAAAAAATGGGTGCAATGCTACGGCAAGCAAAAAAAAAAAATAGCGGGATTGGTGGAAAAGGTGAAGGAAAATTAACAGATAAGATGATAAATAAATTGTCATTATATTATGGTTTAGCGATTCGTCAGCATTTAATTCTGTTGAGGACATGAAAAACGCAATTTGGGCTACTTTCTACCACAATAGTTCCACAAATAAAAAGCCGCAACATATGTATTGCCCATCTGGTCCGGAAAGCTGGTGTAAGTGGCAAAAAGCTGCACATGAAGGTACGTTAGAGGAGTTTGACCAAGAAAATCCTCCTCTGCGTGATAACGTATTGGAAATTATAAAGCCGATTTACGAGAGTTTATCGTCAGAGGAGTTACTGACTCGATGTTTAGGTTCAGAAACTCAAAATAATAATGAGTCTCTAAACTCGTTGATTTGGACTTTCGCGCCGAAACATATTCATGCTGGAACTCGCGTGATTGAAATTGCGATATTTATTGCTGTCTGCATATTTAATGAAGGCTTCATTCCCATTTTAAAAATAATGACGCTTATGGGAATCACAATTGGTCCAGAAGCTTATTTATTCGCCATGAAACGGACATCTAATGCATCAAAGGAGGCCAGAACAGCTCGATTGGAAGAGAGAAATATAAAAAATACTTTTTTCGAAGTCGAAGAAGGTCCCATGTATCAAGCAAAAATGGCAGATTGAATAAATGAAAGTATAAAATATCAATTTATGACTTAGACCGCGCGTAACTTTACGCGAAATTTTGAACGCGTTTTTCTCGAAACTGTTTTTTTCACGGTTGTCATGATTTTTCAAGTTCTATTGAATCAATTTACTTGAAATTTGGTGAGAGTTTTCTCTCTGCATTTCTCTATCGTACTAACTAAACTCTTACAACAATTCTCAATTTTTACTATTTTTTAAAAATTCGAAAAAGTAAAAAAAGTGGTAAAAAAATTTATTATTTTTTCAGAATACCCCCTTAATAATATGATGGGTACTTTCTGGAGAAGAGGAAGGAAGAAACCAGATAAAGAAAATATTACCGAGATTATGTTAATATAATATTTAGGATAATAATTTTATTAGATAAATATAGATTAATTTATAAATGTTATGTTTGTGATAAAAATTGTAGGCAAATAACCTCCACTCCCTCTTCAAAACCAAAAGTCAAAAATGTAAAGATAAATGCATACAACCTATTTATCGTTTTCCTTTTACAGCAGAAATGATATTTTATACTTACATAAAGAAATTTTTCATGATATAACTGATAATAGTCACTACAATGTCTCCGTAACCATTTCTGGACATCTAATACATTCCATAAATACACTGGTCTAGGCCGAGCAGTTTTAACCTAAAATATAATATATACATATTTATATACTATACTAATGTAAAACAATAAGTCTAACCTGATTATAAAAATTATTGATTTAAGCTTACTTTTGGTTTATTCGTAGAATTAACTGTTTCTTCTACCATTTTAGTTCCAAAGCCTTATTTTTTACTGAATGATTAATTCCATAAATAAATGCACAATATTTTAAAGTAAATATTAAAAAAATAAATTTATTAAAGAAATGTTTAATTAAAAAAATAAGATTTAAAGAAATAACGTTAATTATAATTAATAAGCACAAATTAAACCAAATCAAACTTTAATCCTTTCCTTGCTATTGGCGTATACTATATACGCCTTTACAAGTTCATCAATGTATACGAAAGACGTAAATATACGCCCTCTGTATTTGTATTACTAAAACACCTTTATTACTGTTTTACAGATTAAAGTTTCCTAAGATAAATAAAAAAAAATTAATATTTTAAATTTATTTTCCATTATTATTTTTTAAACCTTGAGAAGAGTATAAAATTCCAGGTACTGTTTAGGTTAAACAACCATTTACAGCGACATGCGAAAAATGCGCTACCTATATTGATGCATTCGTTCGAGAGGGCGCCATAATGAAAGGGTTAAAGAAAATTGCCTTCTTCATTCTATTAAAACTTTACTGTCAAACATAGTTATCTAGTATTAAATGTTGATATTGATATTAAAACGAAAGAAACTGCAATCTAAAATTATAATTACATTTAAAGTATCAAAATTGCTTATTTTTATATTTATAATCTTAAAATAATAGAAGAAAGATAATAAAGGAAAAAGATTCTATTTTATTACATTTGTTTACTAGTGACTTTTCAGCTATTAAGTTGTTCAATAAGTCATTTCAATTTTTAATATTTTTTTATTTTATTTACTTCTTTCCATTGTTATATCAAAGAAATGAATGAAAAAGAAATTATATATTTTTATTTATGAAAACATGGAATACATGAATGTTGTTTTAAATAATTTGTAGAAAATTCAGTAACCGGAAATAAACTTTCTCTTGACTCATCACTCGTTTACAAACTTCACGACAGTTTCTCTTGTTCGTTTCCCTTTCTCGTGAAATACAGAGTAGTGAAGAAGCAAGATGGTTAGTTCTTGAATATTTATTTTATAAAATTAAATAATATTGTTGTATTTGTAAAAAGTTCTTCAAAAATTAAAGTTTTTTCTATAATTGATTAGTTTTAAATGAAATTTTAAAATATTTTAACTATTTTTGTTGTTGCATTTTGCATAACAAATATGTTGAGACGTGCCATGTGATTTTTTGCATTAGAGTTTAACATTTATTAATATATATATATATTATATACAACAATTTTTTAAATAATATTAATTCTATAATAAATACAAATGAATATTAAAAAATATTTTAGTGATTCATCATTGAGTTAATAATAATTAACATATTTAACTTTCAATAAATTTAGTAAGTATTTTGAACAATTATATATTTAATATCATTTTGTTTTTATAGACTTGCAAACGCAGAAACGGTGGACGTGCCAAGCATGGCCGTGGCCATGTAAATCCTGTACGTTGTACTAATTGTGCACGATGCGTACCTAAAGATAAGGCAATCAAAAAGTTTGTCATCCGTAATATTGTAGAAGCGGCCGCAGTTAGAGATATAACTGAAGCCAGTCAATATCCATCTTATCAACTTCCTAAATTGTATGCGAAGTTACACTATTGTGTATCTTGCGCTATTCACTCTAAAGTGGTCCGTAACAGATCTAAGGAAGCAAGACGTATTAGGACACCTCCTGTGCGCAACTTCCCAAGGGTAATTATGAGATTGTTAAATATTCAATCAAAAGTAGATTAGTTATTTATTAATCCCTTGCACTATAACGTTGACTTTAACATGTAGCTCTGTGCATTAAATCATGATGAAAGGGATTTTTTTTAGATATATTATTTGTTTATTTACTTTCAACATTAAATTGAAATTATTTACTTATTATTATTATTGTTATTAATAATAGTTTTTTGTTAATTCTTGAAAATCTTTTAATTTTTAGGATTTACGTCAAGGACAACAAAACAGGAAATAATTTTTTTGCTATGTAATAGATTTAAAATTAATATAAAAATAATAAAAAATCAATGAAATAAAAATTCACACGATTTATTTGCCTTACTCTTTATAAATTACACAATAATTTTACACTTTATTGCTTTTTCAAGAATATTTCTACATTCGTAAGAAACAAATGAATAAAATAAATATAAAATTAAGTAAAATTACTATTTATAAAAATCATAGCATTAATCTTTGTGATGTGAAGAAGCAAATGAAGCCTTAAGTGTCTCATCCATCACTGATTTATATACTAGTAATATATCTCAAAAATTGATACTTCCTAGATATTGAAATAGTAAGACTTGATATCGAAGATCTAATATAAGTTTAGTAATTTTTAAATAGATTAAATTAATGTAAAATTAACAACAGCTCAAACGTAAATTAAATAAGAAATCATTTATTAGCTTCTTCCATCGCTTTTTTAAGCGTTTTTTCAAATATCTTTTTGGAATCACAAAAGCCTTGTTTTGTTTTCCCAAATGAATTTGGTCCTGCAGAGGTAGGTGTTTCTCGTCCAATATTTCGCATTCTCATCCTTGCTTCTGCAGGCATTTCTTCCGGTTCATCATCTTCATCTGCATTAAATACTGATGCTACTGTAGGTCGCTGTACTACAGTGGTTTTCATACCAGAGTTCTAAAAAAATTAATCGATTATATATTGTATCATATATGCCAGTTACGTATAAAATACTTACAGCAGCAGAACCCAGTTTAATTTGAATTCCCTTCTTTTGGTCAGCACCAGTTTGCCTTTTCCCAAACCCAAATGCAAGTTTCTGTTTCTTGACATCACCTTGGCCAAAGTCAGCAGATTCACAGTGGTCATCTGATCTTAGTGGTGAACGATCCCTTACCACTCTGCTGTCCCCACGGGTGTCCTCTGCTCTGTAGACACTTGACCCTGACAACGTCAAACACTGGCAAAGTTCAGATCAAGTTAAACGATTTTGATTATTTAGCCAGAAATCTTTATGCAACATGCTTAGTACAACTTTCCTGTCCTATAAATAATGTATTATAAATTATTTTTCTAAATTAAAAAAAAAAAAAATAATCTATACAAATTTGACAAATTTAAAATAAAATTTTCATTATATATTAAATACAACCCCTACAAAATATATTTCAAAATATATTTTATTGTCAGCAATAAATCAATTATTGACAATATTACATTAATATCATTTTATCAATATAGGCAGATACAACATAGTCTAATTTGTATGATAAATATTCATAAATGACATGCACTAGTTAAATTCATGATATATTACCAAAGCCAAATATTTTTTAGAAAGACAACAAATCGAAAAGAAATGAAAAAATACTTTGACACAGAAAGCTCTTAGTAGTCAACCGTTCTAATACTATTCAAATAGCGTAGTTATGAATGTAAATTGAAAACATATATATAGTGTGTAATTTAAATAGAAAATAAAATTGGAAATAAAATGAATAAAACCTTTTCTATATTCGTCCCCAGGATTCCTCTTAGACATTTTTAAGCTTTCCTTGTCTCCGGAACAAGAACGATTGATCCAAAGTAACCTAAAAATCGTTACTGCAGTTACTTCACTATATAGATAACAGAAACAGTCTTGACAACATTAGAACTATTTAAAACCAGATTTTCAAATTCCTGGAAAATACAACTTTATATTCGGTCATTTCAATTAATAATAATTAAATTTTTAAAATCTTTAGTAATTAAATATTTTAATAATTATTTTTCTTTTATTAATTAGAATACGTATAATGAAAACTGTAATTATAATTCTCATGACATATGATAAATTCTTGTAGCATGTCACAGATTGATGGTCTCAAACAATTTTTCAAATCAAATAATACAATTAATTTACCTATTTAAATGTTTAATAGGACATAACCATCTCTCATAATTTATTAAAAATAACATTTAATCAAACGCAATAAATCGAGTATTACCAACTTAATTTGAATATAGTGTTATCTGACGAAAGTTACTAAACCAAAATTGTCCAATTGATAAAAGTGTTTCTTATTTAATTGGCTTACTATCGAAAATCTTATCAATGAAAAACATCAAAAAGGGTTAGAAATTTTTATGGATAAATACAAGTCATTGATTGGAAATGAAAATGCAAAAAAGTATCATTACTCTGAAAAAATTTGATAGTTTATTTATTATTTATATAATTATAAAACTTCTCTTATTATTTTGTAAATATTTCTCAAGAGAAGTATATTTAAATTATGTAAGAGATAATAAATTTAGTTTATACTGAAAAATTATATTTTTCTAATATATATTACGACTATCGTATTTATTGTATAGATTTTGGAAATGTTAATTACATTTAACAAAAGCAGACGACATACATTGTTGATACTTTTAATATCAATGTATTTCATCTGTGAACTGAATTTGTTTTAATAAAGAATGTTCCATTTAATTGTCTCTATACTGATACTTAAATGTGTTTAACAATCATTTACGCTGAGAATGATGAAAGGAAGTCAGTGACAATTTTCTTTAACTTAGCATCAGATGATTCGCTAATGGAATTTTCCTTTGCAATGGTACTTAGAAGATCTTGTTGAGTAGATCTATACAAAAATAAATTCAATTAATTTATTTAATCTATATAAATTTAAGAAATTAATTATTTAAATATTAGTACAAATATTATTTACCTAATATGAGCAAGGAATTCTTTTTCAAAGGCAGTGATTTTAGATGGCTCCATTTTATCAAGATAACCACGGACACCGCAGTAGATGACAGCAACCTGTTCTTCGATGGCCATTGGAACTAAAGAATATTATAAAAAATAATGTTATTATAAATGAAGAAATTTTAAACAACAAAAGACATTGTATATATTATGACATAGTTTTACCATATTGTCCTTGTTTGAGAAGTTCCGTTAATCTAACACCACGATTCAACAATTGTTGAGTTGCAGCATCCAAGTCAGATCCGAATTGTGCGAAAGCTGCTACTTCACGATACTGAGCCAATTCCAATTTCATGGAACCAGCAACCTATAATAATAATAATAATAATAATAATAATAATAATAATAATAATAATAATAATAATAATAATATATTTACTATTAACAGTATAGTTATATAAATTTGCTGTATTTAAATTATTATACCACACCTGTTTCATAGCCTTGGTTTGAGCAGCAGATCCGACTCTAGATACAGACAGACCAACGTTAATGGCTGGTCGGATACCTTTATAAAACAATTCAGTTTCCAAGAAGATTTGACCATCAGTAATAGAGATGACATTGGTTGGAATATAGGCAGATACATCACCAGCCTGAGTTTCAATGACAGGTAAGGCAGTTAAAGATCCACCACCTAAACTTTCATTCATTTTGGCAGCTCGCTCTAATAAACGCGAGTGAAGATAAAATACATCACCAGGGTAAGCTTCACGACCTGGTGGTCTTCTAAGTAGCAAAGACATTTGTCGATAGGCAACAGCCTGTTTCGATAAATCGTCATAGATAATTAAAGCGTGTTTTCCATTATCTCTATAAAAAGAAAGATTAAAATATTATTTAAGGACAAAGTCGCATATTAAATATATTAAACATATTACAACAAAGTTAATGGTATTAATTTTACTTTACCTAAAGAATTCTCCCATGGCACAACCAGAATATGGTGCCAGATACTGTAACGGAGCGGCGTCAGATGCGGTAGCAGAAACAATAATAGTGTAATTAATAGCACCACTGTCAGTCAATCGTTTGACAATTTGAGCAACAGTAGATCTCTTTTGACCAATAGCAACATAGATACAATATAATTTCTTTTTTTCTTCACCACCATCATTGAAACGTTTTTGATTGATGATAGTATCAATGGCAAGAGCAGTTTTTCCAGTCTGCCTGTCTCCAATAATCAACTCACGCTGTCCTCTACCAATAGGCACTAAAGAATCTACAGCCTTGATTCCAGTTTGCATAGGTTCCCTTACGGATACTCTATAAAAGTACACATATTTTAAAAACATATGGTCATTAATTACATCTATACATAGTTGTTTACGTAATTGCATTACCTAGGAATGATACCTGGAGCTTTGGTACCAATACGGAATCTTAGTTTGTTGTTTAATGGACCTTTACCATCAATGGGATTACCCAAAGCATCAACAACGCGTCCTAATAATTCTTCACCGACAGGAACATCCACGATAGCTCCAGTACGTTTAACAACATCTCCTTCCTTAATGTGCCTGTCATTACCAAATACGACAACACCAACATTGTCAGGTTCCAAATTCAATGCCATACCCTTCAAGCCTGAGCTGAATTCTACCATCTCATCGGCTTGAATGTTCTTTAAACCGTAGACGCGAGCAATACCATCACCAATGCTGAGTACTCTGCCAGTTTCTTCAAGATTTGCCTACAATTTTACTGATATTAAAATCTAATAATTAATTAAGTATAATTTCATGGGAAGTTCTCATAAATATTATCATATAATAAAACGAATGAATTATTAGTTAAATGTAAGATAGACACACCTTTGGAGCAGCGCCAAGGATACGTTCTTCCAGGATAGAAGAGATTTCTGCAGAACGGCGACTACAGGACACATGGTATTTGCGAGTTGAAACAGTGACAGCAGGCCAGTTGACCTAAAAAAAGAAATAGGAATATACTTAAAGTATTCTTCATAGATATACTTCCTAAATGTTTATTACATAACTTGATAGGCCTCTCTTTATATAATACATAATACCCTAAAACGGTACCAATAAGAACCCTATTATATTTCTTAATGATTATATAAATGAGAAACATCTTTTTTGTTAGATAATATTTATAACGAAAAACATTTTTAAATATCCCTTCAAAACTACGGAAACGTGTAATGGACAGATATAAAATGTCGGCGATATCGACAGTTTATGACACGGTTATATGATTATGTCTTGACATAAATTAGTTGTCTTTTTTAAATAAATTACCTGAATCGTAGCATTTGGCAACTGCCTCGCCAAAGAGGAAGCCAAACGTAGAGATAAAAGAGCCATGTGGATATGTTGAAAGTCCGTTAACCGGACCACGAATTCTACGAAGAAGAATGATCAAGACGAGGACGAGCAGAAGTACGTCCTGACGAGCCCCACTCTCTCGTTCGAGCAAAGGAAATCGACATTCATTGACCTGCGCTGTAACCTCGAATCCAAACAAATTTTTAAGTTTATACTGACAATGATTAATTGAATAATCTTACAAATCTAATATCGTTGTTTTATTTAAAAAATCATGATTTTGTAGACTAATACTTTTCATTATTTATTAACCAAAAATAAATAACTTCTAAAATGAATTCTGACTTGGAGATTAACTGTAATATCCGCTGCAGTGTAATAAGCAGAACGCGCTAAATTCAAACGACGTATATTGAAAATGTTGATTAATAAATATACACACAGAAACCATATTTCTTAAAAAGAAAATATTATACTGTTATAAATTATAGTTATTAAATCTTCTTATATACAATCTACAATAAAATAATATAAGCTATATATTTGTTTTTTATTAATAATTCTATACGGTCGTCATTTATTTAATCTGACCAGTAGGATTATTATACTTCATATCTTATATGTATATGTATTGATGAAATCATTTATTAATTTAAAATTAATTTTAATTAACATATACATCTAAACAAGCGTTCAATTGTAAATTTACAATTGAATAAATGTCATTTAAATTGTGAAGTATCTCGCCCTTTAAATCTAAAATGGCGATTGGCTAAATGAGTTGGGGGTTTTAAAATAATCCTGAATCATATTATAGTTACTTTATTGTTGTTTCGTGATAAAAAGGATCAATAATAATGATGCGTCTTCTATTAAAAAAATTAATTAATTCTTTTTGAAAGGAAATATAAGCATATTTTACATAGTGAATGTTATTCTGTTTAGATGAAGTTTGACTAGCTTTGGACGCGTTATTGCACCGGCGTAAAGGTTTGTTATTGTGAACTCGTATTGATTGTCGTTGATAACTGATTTTTAATGTTATCGAAACTTATTATAAAATAACGTCAAAAATTATCAAAAATAAAATGATATTTTAAAAAAAATTATGTCATATACAAACATAAAAATATAAAAACCTTGTTATTAATAATTTATGTAAGGAACTTGTTAATTTTGTATTTTCCTAACAAATATTGTATCTCACAAGTTGTAACTATATTAATGCACAAATTAAATGAAGAGTAAAACAACTATAAAAGGTTATTGTAAGATATTAATTAGTTGCAGATATATATTGCATCTGTAAAGAAGTACACTCATATGGATTGAACTGTGATTTTATTCTAAACTAATCTTGAAGAATCTACTAAATATGGACTCTGTTAGCGAACTGGAACACGATAGACTGGTTAAAGAGGCAGAGAGTTTAAAGATACGTTTAGAGGATGAACGGCAAAAGCTAAATGATGTTACTCGTAACTATCTAAACTATCTAGTTAAAGATAAATTATTTTCATGTTTATTTCTGCATTCTATAACATTATATTGTATAAAAATGAGGTATGTTGAGTGAATGATTATGATTTTAAAAAAAGACATTAAAGAATGATAAATTATGTTAAATTTTCTTATTTTTGTATGTTATAAAAATAATATCGTGTATAAATTTAAGTATTACATTTTTTAGTTGCCAGTGTAGCTGATCGGTTGGAAGGAATAAATTGCATAAATGTAAAACCTCGACGTGTTTTAAAAGGCCATCAGGCAAAAGTTCTTTGTTCTGATTGGTCTCCTGATAAGCGTCATATTGTTTCTTCTTCTCAGGTATACAGTTTGGTCTTTATTTTTACATTTTCCATTCATATGCATATAAACCATTTTTCAGGATGGCAAAATGATAATATGGGATGCTTTTACAACAAATAAGGAACATGCAGTTACAATGCCTACGATATGGGTAATGGCATGTGCTTATGCTCCTAGTGGTATTTTAGTAGCATGCGGGTACGTCTGCAAATACAATGTGTACATATTTCACTTAGAATAAGTTTTTAGCGAAAGAGAAAGAGAATTATTGTAAATTACCTTAATTCATTTCTACAGGGGATTAGACAACAAAGTAACAGTTTATCCTTTAAGTTTAGAAGATGATGTTACAACTCGTAAAAAAACTGTTGGAACTCACACATCGTACATGTCATGTTGTGCATTTCCGAATAGCGATCAACAAATTTTAACAGGAAGCGGTGATAGTACATGTGCTTTATGGGACGTTGAAAGTGGTCAATTGCTTCAAAGTTTTCATGGACATTCTAGCGATGTTATGTCAATTGATTTAGCACCAAGTGAAACGGGCAACACGTTTGTATCGGGTAGTTGCGACAAAATGGTTCTAATTTGGGATATGCGTAGTGGACAATGTGTTCAAAGCTTTGAAGGACATCAGTCCGATGTTAATTCGGTATTAAAATAGAGTAAATTCGTAATATTAATCCATTCGATAAATATATTTTGATTTAATAAAATAGTATTTGTCTTTTTATAGGTAAGATTTCATCCAAGTGGCGATGCAGTAGCAACAGGTTCCGATGATGCTACCTGCCGACTTTTTGATTTACGCGCTGATAAAGAAGTAGCCATTTATGCGAAAGAAAGTATCATATTTGGAGCAAATACAATAGATCTTAGTGTTAGTGGACGTTTATTGTTTGCTGGGTATAATGATTATACAGTAAATATATGGGATACTTTAAAGTGCCAAAGAGTAGCACTTTTATATGGACACGACAATCGTGTGTCTTGTTTAAGAGTTTCGCCGGATGGTACTGCAGTTTCAACTGGAAGTTGGGATTCGACGCTACGCGTTTGGGCTTAGATTTAAATTTAATCTCTCTTTCCTAATGCCTATTGGTACACCTCAAAACATATATTCCATACACAAGCCTTATGTTAATTATGGCGAAATGGAAGGAGGTACTGTTATGATCATATATGTATTAGCATGCAATTGAAATTTAAGTAATTGTCATTTAATCGTTAGATAGTTACAAATATATCATATAGTTGATCATTCAAAAATTATGTTAGGCTGGCCCTAATTTATATAGAATATGAAAAAAGAAAAATAAAGAGATTTATTTCATTGATTGTTGTATAAACTGTTACACGCATAATATGTGAAATAAAATAAAGATTAGATTAATGAAATTTATGTTACCTTGGTAATGTTCAATTCAAGATGAACTCTTGAAATACCTAAGAATAAAGATAAGGTAAAATAGTAAAAAGCGTATTTACCGCGCACCATATAATTTTGTCTCTCATTGACAAGTACAATATCTTGTTTGATTCATATTCTTGCGTACACTGTTGTATAATTATTCGTTATTCACTACATTGCCTTTTAATTTCAGTCGAAGTGTGAAATGGCCTATCTCATTCTCACATAGATCAATTCCACAGCCGGCTTATTTAAAAAAATGAGTCGCTCGAGTATGATGACGATGATGAATATTATTATTATTATTACTATTATTATTAATATTATTATTATTATTATTATTATTATTAAATAACGAGCCGGCAAGGTAAAATTGCAACTTAATTTATTAATTCGACAGTTATAAATATTATTATTACTAAACTGTCATCGATAATTTTATATAATCCTTAACTTTTTGCGGTAAAACGAAGTCATGGAACGTAATAGAGTTCCGTGTACATTCTTGTCATTTCGAACAGTATAAAAAAGAACACTCGCGGAATACAAACGTGGTGGAGGGAGATCGATGAAAGCAAAAATAAAAAAAAAACAATGATAAAAAAAATCCTATTGTAAAAAATAATTCATGGAACCAGTATTATGCAAATAGCGATTAATCGACACGATTTGTCTAGAATTGCACCGTCCTTAAAGTTAACGGAATATCATTTTAGCCCAGTTACATGAGCCGAAGATGCAATTTTGACACATTTATATACAACGTGTTCTTAGACATGACTAAATAATGATTTTCTTATTAAAATTCATTTTAAGAAGAAAATGCAAAAGAAAAGAAGACCCTTGGTTGTAGTTTCTGTTAGATATTTTATAAAACTTTTCTAACGGACTTACTAGGATAGTTTATAATTACAAAGAATTAGAACATTATAATACGTTTGCTAAGAAAGAGAAAAAAGGGGAAAAAATAAAAAGAAAGGATAGGAAACAAATTAAAGCCAAAAAAGCTGTCAGAGTATTTACAATTAATTATCGAGCATGACGGATGTATGTGTTTATATGTAGTTAGGTAAATACAACAAAACTGATGTTCAGTCGGTGCAATTAAAAATTGCTTGTGATATCATGTGTTGTATAAATAAATCTCATTAATGTAATGGATGCAAAAAAATACTATGCGTAATCGTCACATACGCACGAAGGCTATACATACAAATGGCGCGTGCATACTAATCGTAATCTTATTGAATGGTGTACATTGTCTCGTGTATGTTTTTACACAAACGCACGCCTTCAAATGTAGTCTTTTCACATAGAAAAGTACAATGATAGATATTGATAGCGATAAGAATCAATGAGAATGATAGATTAATGATCATGAAGTTATTATTACAATTAAAATTCATTTAACAAATCGTCCTATTAATCGATTATCTTAAAATAAATGAATGAATATCGTGACACACCATACAGTTTTTAAAGAACAATTTAGTCTTACACAATATTGTTTTTAATTAAACAAAAATAGAAATAAACGCTTTACGTACAGTAATTACAAAATATAAAATAAAAACAAAATAAATTCTAATTTTTAACGATATTCTTTCGAGCAGATCAGAAGTGCAATATAATGAATGATATTCCCACACGAAAGTAAAAGTTAGATTAGCGTTCGACCGAATATCATTGTGTATATATTTTGGAAGCACATTGGTAATTTATAAAAATGGAAAAGTGATAAATTTTTACAGCTTGACCAATAGAATTTATTTATTGTAGCTGTCAAAGGAAGAAAGGATATAAAAACAAAATTATTATTATTTTTTTTGTACTACTTTGTACTAAGATTTACTAAATATCATATTCATATCAACCATCACAGAGGAAGTAGAGACAATTACATTAGTAATTAAGATGAATTTATATAAGTCATCTATGGTGTAAAATACTAAATAATTATTATTTTGAACACAATTCTAACCTTTTCCTTCGTGTATTTATGTTCCTACCGAATGATATTCATGAAACGAATAGTATTCATCTCCTCAGAGTATGTCAAATGTACTCAAGCTTGTTTCTTTCATTTAAAAAAACAGGAATAGGACAAAACAATGTAAATATATAAAAACAAAACAAAAGAAAGTCTTTTGTCTTTTAGATCAAGTTATAATATTATAGAAACAATAGCTTGATGCAACTTTTAATACTATGCACAATGACAAATACTATTGTTATTCCTATTAACCAATGATTTATAGATGTATAAAACAATAGGTAATATTAATAATACAGCATCATCATATTTGCACTAAATTTCTTGAGTGTATAAATTGTGTAATTATGAAATAAATTGAGAGAAAAAAAAGAATTACGAACAGAATGAAAGTATCAACTACTTGTATCGCTTCCTGAGATGTCACGTAACTTTCAGTCATTGTATTGCAATTACATAAAAAGAAAAACTATGCACACTCACACAAATATACAATGATGACGTTGAAAGCAATACTCAGAAAAGCAGAAAAAAAAATTTTGTTATTTTCTTTTGGTTATCGATATCTTTCAAATATTGCTTTTAGTGTAATTATTTTCTTACAAAGAAAGAATGGAAGAGAAGCAGGCTTTTATGTTATATAATACAACAAATCATACAATATTAGAAGCACTTGTGGAATGCCAGACACAAAGTAATATGAGTATTCAATGCTTATAAATCATAGTTTACATACATACATACATATATATATATATATATATATATATATATATATTTGCATTTTTTTATTATGGAAGAACACGCTATAGATTAAAAAGAAACTTATTACATTTTTATCATGCTTAGGTCTTGAATACATTACTGTAAATCAGTTCTTCTGTTTTACATAAATTTAAGCACCCTAAATACTGATACAATAAACTATAATATACATTATATTATAGTAAAACATATTATAGTAGTCTTAAAAAAAATCTTTTATGAAAAATTAAGTTTTAGGAAGTCTTATCAGACCATACTCTATAAATATATAAGAATGGTAACATATAATAGTGATTGAATAGAATTAAATTTAAAGGTAAGTTTATAAATTATGCACCAATCCATGCAAAAGTTATCCTACAAAATTCAAATAAAAAGAAAAGATTATAAAATATTTTTTACTATACCTGTTTAAAATAGAATAGTAAAAATAAGGAATGAAATATATACAAAAATATTGTATGTAATTATATAATAAATTCTGCCACAGAGTGCTTAATATTGTATGCTTATCAAATTATTGCTCTTTGCACTTAGCAAAATGTTAAAAATGTTGTTTTCTATTCTATGAGTTGTGTAAAAGTCATTTGATATTGAAAACCAGTTATGCCAACAACTAATCGATGTACAATCTCCGATATTTTGCTGGTACTAAAAGTTTTAAAGTCTTTTAAAGAAAAAAACAAGAAATCACAACACGATTTATGATCGGTCTACAATTTCTTACAAATTACTGATGCATAGACCATGTCAGGACTTGGTAAAATAGTAAGGCGTAGAACGCTGCATATGGTAAACTGTATTGTCGTTAAAAAATATTATATCTTCCTGGATATATTTGGCAAGCGTGCACTTCAATCTGGAAGATCCGATCTTCAAAGGGCGATGAAATAAAAGATGACAGTACAAAATATTGACAGCTACGAGGGGATGGCTCGCAATCTCCTCCAACGTGCCTCCCATTGAGAATTATTCCTTCCAGAACCCCAACCAAATCCAAATACAGAATCAATTGTAGGCTTACTCAAATAAGTGACACTGTTACCGCTATGATCAAAATGTGGTTCAAGACTGGTTAAATCAACTGCATGTAAAATTCGAACAGCAGACGCGAGTCGAAGCTTGCTGGCTGGCGAACTAAACACCAACTTACGGCTTTGTTTACTGTTGCTCTTGTCACCAACGTTGCTAGAATTACTATGGCGAGGATCATTCTGTAACTGTTTTACTTTGCGAGAATATTCAGTGCAAAATGATTTTGCCATAGATCATTGCCGGTAAGTCTGAGGTGATATGCCGTTTCCAGGTGTCACATAATCACCAATCATTAAACTTGGATTTACTGGATAATGTGACGTGTTTCCAAGGACCAGCGATTGCTGGAAAGTAACACCAAGCTGTAGCACGAAAGATACGCAGGCAAGTAAACGCTTCAGTATATTTTATAAATTAAGATAAAATACCAAACGAGCCATTTAATAATTAAATGTTTCACATTATATTTGAGTATTCTGTTTTAAAAAATAAGTATTATTATTTAGTGACTAAAGTATCATAGAGAAAACAGCTCGCTGGAGTAAACAATCAGTGATATGTAACACTTACAGTAGCTGGAGATGTGAACATATTAGGTGTTATTCCACCACCTATCAATTGTGCTGCTTGTGTACTTGTAGCTGTACCACCTACTCGGCCACGTCCAGTACTTGTTATCGAACCGGGGTGAATATTCGGTTGACCACCTAAGCAAACGTTCATATTTTTATATTATTATTATTAATTGTACAAAATTTTCCTTATTAAATGTCATATTTATTTCTTACTATAACAAGTAATTCATTTTTTACTTACATCTATCTCAAATCAATCTAAAATTTTATTAGATCAATGTTTATGAAATATATCAGTAGAATACAAAAGAATGTCTTATATTACTACATAGATTGCAAATATTGCTTTTTGATCGAAATTAAATCTTACCAATAGCAAGTAAATTACTGGCATTTACTGCAGCGCTAGTATCCATTGAAACCTCACCAAGACCATTAACTGACATGCCATTAACCATGTTTACAGCTTGCCGAGCACCTTGTGCATCCAGAGAATTCCAATAAGATTCACTAGGTGAAGTATTATTTAAACCAGGGGGCGGTTGCGCTGCTGCTCCTGTATACCTAAAGTAAGGATTTTTTAGGTCTAAGGTATTACTACTGCTTTCCAAATTCGTCCCTTCTAATTTGAGTTCTATTGTCACATCATAAGATTGCCTGCAATCAAGTATATCAATATTTCAATCAGTTCTTAATCGTATAACTGAGAAAACAAACGAAAAATATAACATTTATTTAACATTACCTTTTGTTAGCAATAAGAATAACTTTTCCTGAAAGTAACTGACCACTTTTACAAAACAATGGATTTTCAAGAAGACAACGCACTTGATACCAATGTGTAAGAGGTTCTGTAGGAGCAGTACTTAACCAAACTTGTTGAGCACTACCAATAAACGCCACGTCAAACCAGAATGCAAGACCATGACATGTACCACTTTCTAATATGTGAAAGTCAACATCTATAGCTGAAAGATTAATAATTTATCACAAATTAATATAATACATGTCACGTTATGAATTTATTTATCTCAAAATAAAAATATAAATATCATATAACATTTATTAGGTCCTATTACCTATTTTATGTAAATCAGTCTCTTTAGCTGTCTGGAAATCTACGATATGCCTAACAGATTTAGCCATACAAATTCTTATATCAAAGGTATCAACAATAGGTTGGCGGAAATATTCTTTAACTGCATTACTTCTCATTGCAGAGAGATCTACACCATGGAAACATGTTTGATACCAGAAATTGGCTTTATTAAATTGTTCCATGTAAAGGTTTTCATCGGAAAATGGCGCGATATGCAAGTCTCCTCTAGAAGGAAACATTCTTCCACCTAAAAATAAAATATGATATATTTCATATGAATTAAAATGATAAAGGAACGTGTATATTAAGAGTAAATAATGTATCTGTGATCACCTGGTACTAGCCATTTTTTGGCATGAAGATAAGTTTCAAGCATTCTTTCATTATACAACATGTAGCCCATAGGTTCACTGACTATGCAATCAACATGTTCTGGTAGATCTATTTCTTCGATTTTTCCAGCTATTACTATAATCTTATCCGATAAATTATTAGCAGCAACTAATAATTCTGCATGATTTGCCATATTGCTTGCTTCTACTGCATAGACTTTTTTTGCACCAGCTTGAATTGCAAAAAATGATAAAATACCAGAACCAGCACCTACATCTAATACAACTTTGTCTTTAAAGTCAGATAAATTGCCGAGAATTGCACGTTGATAAGTGCTCGTCCTTATATAATCTTGCATCATATTTTGTTGCTGTGATAAATAACCATAAAATTGAAAATATTGCATGGCCGATGACTCTTCCGTTCTATCATTAAATGCCGAGATACCACCGCACTTTCCATTTCTTAATTTTGTTATTAGCGAATGAAAGCTTCGAAAATCTATAGAAAAATTATATTTTTTTTATTACTTATAGATTAAAAGACAAATATATATACATTGTTTAAATGTATATAAAAATAAAATAGTATCGTCGTTTTTATTCACCTGCATCAGAATGAAATGTGACTAACAAAGTATCTGTCTCCAATGTAAAAACATAACTTCGGGATGAAACTCTAGAGCATTCAGTAGTATGAGTTACAGGAAATTCTAATAATGAAACCTTTTCTTTTAAAGTAGAATCATCTGTAAAATATAAAAACACAAATAATTATACTAACAAATCCAAAAATAAATCAAAATATGTACAATTAATTGTTATAAATAAATTGAAATACACACATCCATGATATATATATATATATACAGACACACATATATTATATATAATATATATATTAAGTTGAAAATGGATCGTTTTGAGACAGAAAAAGAAAGAAAGCACGTTCGAAAAGGTAGAATAACGAATTATAAAAAGAAAAAGAGGAGGGAGGAGAGAAAAGGTAGAATAACGAATTAGAAAGAGAAAAAATAGGTGGGAGGAAAAAAAGAAAGAAAAAGAAGCGTGTCAAAACATAATGCAGAAAATAAATTTAAAAAGTAGAAATAATCAATAGTTTGAAGAGGATTTGATTGGGGAAAAAATCAGAATAAAAATGATGAAAATGTCAATAGGAATGAGTTATAAGAATAATAGAATAAAATAATCCGGTAGGAGGAGTGTGGTTATGTCGGCGCGAATAACGCGTTAGCGTTCATATAGTCGATTAAAAATTTTAGCTTTATTTTCAAAAATAGATAAATTACCTAAGATAAATTCGAGGCTGAGCCCTTGTGGGTCGTAATTAACGACGAGAGCGACTGGTTCAAGAAACTTTGATGTTGTCTGTCCATTGTTAAACAAAGTCAATACTGACAACGAGCGAAAGGTTTTCGCCATTTTTCGACAACCGCGTGTCGTTTTTGTGCGCCCCTAGAAAAGAGTCGGGCACCCGTTTGCTTAGAGGTGGCAGCTCCCGAGTTCCACGTTTTCTTTTTCAAGATAATGTAAATGATAAACTATCTTTAACGTTTAATTTAAGATTGAGCAAAAAACATAGAAATATTTCACTCGAATTCGCAATTTTCGAGTTCGCACATCGGACCATCGACCAACCACCCCTCGGCGCGGTTCGCACACGCGCAATAAACGCTTTCGATGCTTTAAGCCGAAAGGGAGATTTTACCGCCGATCTACTATTGCTTAAATTTTTTTTATGTAATTATTAGAATATATTAACCTTTAAAAAAAATATTTTTCTCTTAAAATTTGAATTTCTTTTATTGTAATTCGTGTGTAAATCTTTAAATTCATGCAAATGAATTTAATGAATTAATGTATTAGAACATCGGTTCTCAAAAGATGAAAAAATGGCGGCCAAGCTGGTTGAGTACAGTTTAGTTCATCATGCCAAGCCTATAGTAGTATGTATCTATAGTCTACAAGTATATTTGAAGTTAGGGTAATATACAATGCTTATCGTATCGAGGACAAGATTTCGTATCCTAGATCGAAACCACTAGTCGGCGCGATCAGTTATTTAATAATTTGGTAAATAATAACCACCGCTAACCACCAATCATGAATGGCGTGTTAAGGACACGTTTGTAATTGGTGAAAACATTTTAATTCTCTGGAAATTCCGAAAGAATTTTGTTGATTGTATCTTCATATAAATGCTTCATGTATTTATCGTGATTTAAACAAAGAAAAAAGAAGCAAAAATGACAATAAAAGGAATTCGAATATAAAATATCGATTAAAGGATAAACAATACATTGATATATAATTAAAATGCAATCAAATCTAGAAACTGGATTACAATTAATAGCACGCTTGAGAAAAAATCTATGCGTTTCAGAGTTTGATAATATTCTCTTTTTTAATGGATTAACAAATACAGACATTATAGAAATAACAGGAAATGTATCCAGTGGAAAATCACTTTTGTTAGCGAATATTCTAGCTAAGTGCATACTTCCTGATAAATATGACGATATCCATATTAAAGGACTTGCAGCTTCTGCGGTATTAATAAATACGGATTGTCATTTTCAAATATCTAAATTGATTAAAATAATGTCTACGATTGTGGCCGATTTATGTAAATCTGTAAATATAAAAAAAGTTACTAATGAAACGATCAACAAAATTATTAATGGAGTGCTCGATAATTTAATTGTTATCAATTGTTATGAGAAAGATCAATTTTTATTAACGTTACACACTTTAGAGAATATATTTTTTTACAACGAAAAAATTGTTATTTTGGCAATCGACAGTATATCGGCATATTATTGGCAAAATCGAGAAAGTAATGATATCAAATCTATAGATTCTTATGTGTTTAATTTAATCAAACTTATTCAAACGATTACATCTCAGTACAATGTTATAACACTTTATACAAGACCAAGTTCGTTAACCATTAATGATGTTAAAACTAAAAAAATTCTTTTTACCAATTTCTCTAAAGAATTAAATTATGTAATTCATTTGTTTAAAAGTACTGATTCAGAAAAACATTTATGCTTGGCAGAATCAAGAAAAAAAAAAAGGATTCTTAACTATATGATTAATTCAGGTGTTATCAAGTGGATAACAGAAAAAGATTAATTAAATATTTATATTCATAAATTTTAAAAGTACTTCATTTACTATGTCCAATGGATTTAATAGACGAGATCCTGCGAGCGTTATGGAACAATTTGTTTTATACGTAGATACTATTTCTTGAACTTTTTTACTTTCTTCTGGCGTAATACCTCCAACAACATATATTAATATCCATTGGTTATCCGCAGGATGATGGTCCGTTTTACTTTTTGAGAAAAGACTATAAACATAATAAATTAGATATTATTTGATGGCTATAGTTAAAATATATTATGTATACTTACTTGAAACTGATACTGGACTGCAATGATTTATTGTGTAGATCATGAATTTTAGATCTTTTTGGATTTATTATATCCTTAACTAATTGTTCTAATATACCAACATACTGAACCATTTCACTAGGGTGAGGATCGGATACTAGAGATCTGAAATATAATAAAATTTAATTTTTTAAGTAGGATGTTTTTTCAGAATTACAAAATGATATTTTATTGAAATTACACATAATTGCGCAGTCCCTCTCTTTTTTTTGCTATATCATGTAATATTGTCATAAAATGTTTTGCCGTCTTTTTTGAAATCTCTCGTGCAGATTCGTCATCTGTAACTCCTAAATTAAACGATATTTTTTAAGCTATTGTAGAACATGAGTATATCATTATTACTATTTTCATGAAAATGTGTTATTAATACAAACCTAATAACAATAAAATTTGTTCATAAATTCTATTTGTAATATTTGTATTTTCATTAAAAACTTTTATGTCCTCATATAAAGCTGTTGAAAGAGATTCTTCCAAAAGCTGTTCTTGAGCAGGTGAAAAATGTATTTGCGTACCAGCAAGGGCATAAACATATATTAACAGGGCAAGAAGATTTTCAGTATCCAATTTCCTGTCGTGTCGTGTTTTTATGATATTGCTTAGCTGAAATAAATTCCATTTTATTTTTCTATATAGGTTCTAATACTTCTGTAAATTTAATCAATAATAACTTATTAATTACTTGTGCTAATACACTTGAAGAATCTCGACTGACCGCTACATTTTGTGTTACTAATTTTTCAATACTAAGAAGCAATTCTATCTGCATATTTTTATCCGATTTCAGTGATTGTACTATTGCCCAAATAATCTAAAAGTTGATAATTATAATAATAAATTATTTATTTAGATTGTAAGCATATATCGAGGGTTATTAATATTATAATTTACATCACTTGTAATTGTTTGTTGGATTGTAATGTTGAATATATCTCATTCTTATTTTGAAATTTGTACATTTGCTTTTCTAAACTATGAACGGAAACTCTTGTTGTTATCTTAGATTTAGGACTTTCTTTTGTTGTTAAAATAGTTTGAAGTAAATGATTTGCAGTTAAAAGAACAGCTTGCTGTTTTTTTGAGATTAAGATATCGATCAAGTTTCTATCAGTAGTTGCTAAGCATCCTGGTATTTCAATAAATGGTGCATCTATCTTAAAAATTAATATCATTAACATGTGATATAATAAAACAATAAGAAAATATTGGTATATTTACCATGGATTCACAAACAATCGGATTCATATTTACTGCAATATCATTGGTGTGATTAGGCAAATGTGGTAAAATACATAACATTCTTGACAGAACTGAGTTTGTATCGTGACTAGTTGCTGCGCATAAATCTAATGTTCTATCAATTAAAATTAAAGACATTTTGGACCCAGATGTTCCATATAGTTTCTAATATAAAATTTAGTAAATCTTATGTATTAACATAAAATTATAATTTTTTCTATTTGATAAACCAAATATACTTACAGATCTACGTTTAATTGCTGCAGGTAAATTTTTTAATGTGTCTGCTATATAATCACTGCATTTACCAATTGAATATATGTCTTCTGTAATATTCAAGTGATGGAACAAGCTTTCCAAAGAACTTACAAAATGATTTATATATAATTCTATTTCTTTAATTTTATTAGGTTCAGGTATATTAATCGGTGGCATTAAATTTGCAAATGGTGGAGTGGTAAATAAATCCTTGGTTAGAAGACTTATAAAAATAGGAATGTAAATAATATCTATAGGAATATTCTATAAAATAATACATAATTAATATAATAAAAATATTTTTGTATAGTTAAGAAATAATTTATATAAGGAATAACTTAAATAAATTACCTGCAATGGATCTTTAAAACTTAGGATATTTTGTAAATCCTCTTTTAGTTTTGTATAATTCTTCATTTCTTTATCTGATAAATTATTATCGTAACACATTGTCATATAGTGTACAGTACTAATAATAGTGTAACTTTTGAACGTATTATGTTCCATTATCATTTTAATTAAATACTCATAAAAGTTAGCGTAAACAGAGGTAGAAATAATCACAGCTTTTCTGTCATTCTTATCTTTAACATTCTATAGAAAAAGATTTCATCAAGTATATTTATGTCAATTTTATTTTCATTGTTTTATATGGAAATATACATACATGTAAATCATAGGCAGCTAATTCATGTACAGAAAACGCTCCTGCGGCTTTTAATACAAGGTATCCTTGATCACCCGTATGCCAATGAAGACATTCTGCAGCTGCTGAATCTATAAAAACAATAGCTTCACTTACTTCCATTAAAATACTTTTCCAACATTTATGCATAAACTTCTCTACTTCATCAATGAAATCCATTTTTTTATTCTTTTATTTAAATATTTTTATATCACACTGTTTCTTCTGTATTTTCAAAACTCTGTCATATATTTTAGACAGTATAAAATGACTTTTTTTTTATTTTATTATATATTTCTATATGTATGGTTATTAAAGGAGTAACAAAATTTAAATCACCAGATTATTCATTATATTATTTTTATTACTATTATCAATTAGCAAGAGAAAATAATTTATGACAATATTTTCCTTTAATTTTCTTGTCATTTAAACACTTCTTATTCACAGTCGGTAATTTTTAACTGATAATTAATTAAAATAATATACACTAGAAGCGCTGTTAACAGCCCTGATTAGGGATCCTATAGGAGGGACGCGCCATGTACATTGCTAGGCTGAAAATGTGGGGGAACAGCTTCCGTTGCATCGCGCAGCCATGTTTATCTTTAGTATGTATTAACGGCTGTGGTTAGTTGAATCATTCGCGCGCAATCACGTGACTACACGAGTTCCTGTCCCTCAGCAATGTACATGGCGCATCCCTCCTATAGGGTCCCTATCCTGTATGAGTCCATCGGTAGTATTTACAATACTTGAAGTTAGTTGTTTTTAATTTAAGCGCCAATCACGTACTTTGTTTGACTACTGTTGAAGTTTAAAAGTTATTACTATTTATATAGTTTTAAATGTCATCTTTTTAAGGAAATATAATAATTTTCAAATGAAAATGTTAACCACACCAAAAAATAAAGGAGAACTTTTTTTGGCTTCTTCGCTTTGTGATGGTCTAGAGGATACAAATATAAAGTGAAGTATTGTGAACATAAATATTTTGATGTATAAATGATAATTTTTTTTTTTAATTTAACATTTATATATTTGATTTATAACAGACAAGTGACAACTCTTATTTTAAATAAAGAGGCAGATCCAAACGTTTTAATTCCGACACATGGTATTACTCCTTTTCATTTAGTGATCGGTAATGATTCCGAAATTTTTGCAGAAGAAGTAACGAAATTATTTTTACGACATGGTGGAAATCCTAATGTTAAGTAAGCATCAATCAATTAGTATAACTTAATTTAAATGAAACTTAATTTTTAATTCTCATATTTATTATTATATTCTTATAGATCTGTCGATGGATTAACACCTGTCCATGTTGCTGCTGCTTGGGGTAGAATTCGCATTTTAGAGTTACTTTTAGCAAATGGAGGTGATCCTTTGCAGTTAGATGATGAAGGTCGAAGTCCATTTCATTACGCATTTGATGGAAAGTATTATAAAATTATTACACTTCTTGGAAACTATTGCGGCTATAATGTAGGCGAAGATGACAAACCAAAATACAAAATGTCATTAGGTAAGGTGGAATATATTGTTACATATAATGGTTGTTCACAATTTTTGTTTATTCAAACAGTACAAAAATGTTATTAATAACCTTTTGCACTATGATTTAATATGCACAGTTTCATGCCATATTCAGAACTACATTATGTGCTTCTTATATTTGGGCTATAAAAAGTAATACAAATCTCATATATTGTTGTTATAGTATGAAGAGTTCACTTTATTCAAGGAGTTTCAAAATTTTATAATTAACTTTGTGTTTATTTTATTTTTATTTTAGATAAAATTGTCTTGAATAATGGTAACACTATAGCTGAATACATCATACCCAAAAATGTATCATCAAATAGGAATAATAATAATAACTCCAATAAAATGATTTTGAGATATTGTAACGAAGAAACATCTAATGATATGTGTGACTCCTGTATGATTTCGAACATATCGTCTTTGGCATCTAAACAAGATTTAAAGGAAAGTGATTTAGAAATTAATTTTGAAAAACTTTGCATTAATGAAAATGTTAAAAAGGAGAAATTTCTTATTAGCGAAATTATTAATTCTCTCTCTTCGACGCTTACAAGCGATTCAACCATTAGCGAAACAACCTTTGATCATGTGAAACATGAAAAACAAAACATTCCTAAAAAAAGTTGTATTTTACCATTATTATCTTCAAGTCAAAAGACTAGCTCTAATCTTAATTCTATAAAACCAAAAAAAAAATATTTCTCATCAAAATTTAAACAAAAAAATATTCTAGACAATTCAATCATAACTACTTCGCCGAATTTTTATACTCCTATAAATACGAAGAAAAAACAAAACATAATAAAAACATCGAATTTTAAAAGCTGTTCTCCGTCGAATAATCTTAAAAACAAATACACTAAATCTTTCGTTACCCCATGTTCAAATAAATATTATAAATCACCAGCTTCTAACGAATATAATGAGCAAAAAAAAGAAATAATTCAATCTACGCCAAGGAGAAAGCAAAGGCGTGAACAAATTTCTTATAAGGATATAAAAAAATGTATAGGAAAAAGAATTATAAAAAACAATTTTGCATTAGAAGATTCAAATAAAATATATAATCGTTTTTCAAGCAATATTTCAACATTATCGCTATCGCCAGATGACTCATGTTATTCTGAATCAAGAAATAGTGAAACGTATGTTGATAAACGATTAGCTATGAAATTACACGAAAGCAAATATGACGAAAATATTAATATTTTATCTTGTGACGATACTTCTCCTAGTTTAACTGAATCTGATGATCCAGCAATATCAAATTCAGAAAACTTAAATAATAATAATAATAATAAACATGAACATAATAATGATCTCTATGAGATATGTAGCGATAAACAATCATCAGTTAAATTAACGAAATTAAAAAAAACAATGACTTATCATTGCATTCCTAAAATTGACAAGGATATGAAAATAACAGTAAATGTTGACGAACAAAATTTATTAAATATTACAGAAATAAGTGATTTACAAAATAATCAAGTAGACACATGTAATTCACCAGAACAAAATTTTTCTATATCAAGGTCAGTATTTTATATAATATAAAAGTATATAAAAGAACTTTTATATAAATTATATCAACAAGAAATAATAATTAAACACATAATATATATACAACAATATAATTATATTTTAGATCTTCTGTTTCATACGTAAGTGTGCAGGAAGAATATAAATATGAAGATCAAGAAAAAGGAGTAATTTTAGTAGAACGACGAAAATGTATTACTCCTGCTAGGTAAGAAAACATAATAACTTTTTATACTTCCCATTTTTATTACAATTCTTATAATTGAAATTTCAGCATTCAAGAAGATAGCGAGAAAAACGAGTCTAATTTCAGCCAGAATAAAACAAGTATGTTATTAATATTTGAAGTGAAATTCTTAATAGAGGTGTTTTTAAGAAAGCTATTATTTATTATCTTTTTTTATTTTTTTAAAAGGTTCCTCTGGACAATCTAATTTTCCATCCGAATTGCTTATGATTGATAATTATACTCTAAGACAAAAGTTGACTAAATTAGGTGATAAGCCTGGACCAATTACTAGTACGACAAGACATTTATATTTAAAACGTCTTGTTAACATACAAAATAAACAATTAAATACAAATTTGTCTCCTTTAAGAAATATATCTGATCAATCAAATCAAATGAAACCGTGGTTAGCATTTGGAGAATGGATAAATGATTTGAATTTATATGGGAAAATTGAAAACGATATATTTAAAGAATTCGTTTCACCAGATCCATCTCGTAGATGGCGTGAAGGAACAGCTAAAACATCTTTTAATTATCTTTTATTGGATCCACGCGTAACTCAAGACTTACCACATCGTGCGTTGCAACTTACTCAATCAGAGGTTTGGGTAACTTTTCTTTCTTCTATATTTTATATTGGAAAAGGTAAACGATCTAGACCTTATTCTCATCTCTATGATGCTTTTAACATGTGGGTTTCAAAAGAACAATATTTATTAAATAAAAAAATTAAGCATATAATAGATATATGGAACGATGGCTATGGTGTTATATGTTTGCATGTATTTCAAAATACAATTCCAGTAGAAGCATATACGCGAGAAGCAATAATGATAGACACGTTAGGCATTGAACATTTAAGTAATTGTAAAAGTGGTGAATATTATGGTATTATAGCTACGTGGAGTCAACGAGATAAATGTAGATTTGGAAGATATTTGTTATATAAAGCATTACAAATTTTATTATACGAAGGTGAAAGGCAACTCTTTCCTGAACATTTGTAAACGACAAAATAGAAGAACAAAATATGTAAATACATAGAAAAACTTATTTACTAAAAGTGTATCAAGAAGTTATAATATCTGTAAATAATTTATTCACTTATGAGACTGTGTACAAATGAATGTAAATTAAATTAGTAGTTGTAATTCAGCAGTTATGTCAGGATTCTTTAGATGATATTGTAAGACTCGTGGATCATTGACATTAACTTGACGTTCAACAAACTGGTTGTCATTTTGGCATTGTTAAGACCCAATTCTTTTTCGTAAGCTGTAATGAATTTGCTCAATTTATACAAAAGCAATATCCTTGAAAGAATATTTTTTTCCACAATTGAGCGTCAGTTTAACAGTTTTTTTTTAGCATTCTTTAAAGCTTTCTTGCAGCTTAACTTTTGAATATGAATGATTACTGTATAAAAAATGAATAATATTATTGAAAGTTATAGTTTTGGTATAATGTTTGACAAACTCTTCAAATCTATTACCTTACAAGGCAATATTTTTTTTCTCTTTCAATATAAGTACTTTATCCATATAACGGTCATTATATATTAATTAAAATAATCCTTTGATATTTGGATTTTCACTTATTTCTTCACTTTCTCTTTTATGAACAAAAATTATTGATGATTCATTAATGAAATCAATGTTGTACCGGTGTAAATGAAATTAATATAAAAAACTTATACAATTATGTAAGATATAATTTAAATACTGACTGATATTTTTCAAAGAATTTGAACATATTTGTTTTATTATAAAAAATAATGTGCAATATTCAAAATAAAAAAAATACACTTAAAGATAATAGTATATAGTTTTATTTTCTTGTAATAAACACAAATTCAAAAATACATACACAACATAATTTACAAATTTAATATTTTACAAGTATGGTCTATCAGGTTCAGTATTTTTTGCCTTTTTATCTCTGCTTCGAGGATACCATTTATGCTTAGTTGTGAAGGTTAATTTTGCTAATTCTGCAACGACATCATACTCTTTCTTTTTTTTAAAGATTGCTGAAATATCTTGTTCACCAATTTTTAATACAGTATTTGGTATAGCTTGTACTTCTTCTATTATAGGCTTTGAGTATTCATAAGGAAAGCCTTGATTTGGATGCCAACAAATAATCATATTTTTATCAGTGAATATAACAACTTCTGGAGGTAATGTGCTATAACTTGGAAATTGTCTACGCAATGTACGAATACCAATTCGTGCAATTGTGTTCATCTATTAAATAAAAATAATATAAATGACATTAAATGAATTTAATAATTTCATAATCATATAATTTATAATTTAAATGGCTACATCTATTTAATTAAAATTATGTTGAAAAACTTTTCTTTTTTTTTTACATACTTTGACGAATTTGTACTAAAATGCTTACTTTTATTTTTTTCCGTTAACTAATTAAATGTTTCACGTTATAAGGAAAAATGTTTGTTACATTTGGAACAGTTGATTATTCGTTAGAAGTAAGAACATAACCTAACACTATGACAAATGGCGCCTATATTTGATTTGTGTTATTTCCAACTACCTTATAAATATATATAATTTCTGAGGAACATTTAGGATTTTTATACAAGGAAATTATAATATTTACATTTAGAAAATTTATTAATGCTTTTTTTATACCTACATTAGTATATTAAAGCACAAATTGTGTAAATTTATTATAATAATAATAAAGCCACATACTTTCAATAATTACAGATTCGTTTATTTAGAATAGTAGTAATTGCATTTTTGTTTTGATTCAAAGATATAAATAAAATGTTAAATTTAATATTTTTTCTAGAGATAAGGCACATACTATTTTTTACTATTTGAAATTGTACAAGTTGAGAGAATGCTTATAATAAGAATTTTAATATTGATTAATTTTGGAAATTATGTTAGATATAGAAAAATTGCATCATTGTTAATTTGACTAATTTTTTAAGACTATTATCAATTAGAGTAAGATCTTAAATCAAAAGGACAAAAATTTACTTCTAAAATTTATCTTCTTTAGATAAAATTTGTTACTTATATTTTATATTATTTTTGACTCAGAGTTATATGTAGAACATCGTTCAAATATTTATACTTAGTATTATTTACTTACAATACTGACAAAAATGATACAATTATGTATTACTTAAACATGAAGAACTTAAAAATAAAATATTACATCAAATAAATAATAACAATAAGAAATTCATTCTGATATAGTATTTGGTATAAAACACTCTATATAAATCTCTAAAATTCATAACATATATAATACAAAATAACTATTTTTTGTTATATTTGATATACACAAAAATCTCTTGTCGTTAATAATAACTTTTCGTTGTTATTAATGTAAAGCAACTTGGAATATTTTATCTTTTATAAAAATCAATCTTTTTTTAAATTATTATTTTTGAATTTTAATTCTTCTTTTTACTGCATAAGATCAGATATGATAAAATTGTATATCTATATGTTACTATAGAGGTAGTTAGCCCAACAAAATTCAGTAAATATTCTGTTTAAATCCAGTTAACTGTTATTGATATTCGGTAGTTGGATTCACATCAATCATCTCAGTTGTGCTAAAAAAAAGAATTGTACGACAAATATTATATTATTTATATACTTATACTAAAAACATTGGTCTAAAATATAATTTCAACAAATGCATACACGATGCATAAAAAATAATAAAAATCAAATTTATAGCAGTTTATATAATAATATACTTAAAGTAATATAATAAAAATATCCCTAATATTTTATAGATACTCATTAATAAATCAAAAATTTAAAAAAAGGAAAACCTTAACTGTTGTCTCAATTTTTGAATAATAAAGGTTTTTTACCAACATGTAATAATGCATGAAGTAAATTATGTTTCAACTACATTTATATGTAAAAAGAAATGAAATATATTCTTGCATAATAAAAAGCTAAAATATTAAATAATATTTAACAATTACATGCATTTTTGTTACTTAATAAATTGCATGCTCCTAAAATAGTAAAATATAAAAAAATAATTTTATAAGACATTCCGCATTATAAAGACAATAAAATACATCCAATAATAAATTTTTATACAAAAAAAAAAAATACAAAAAACATAAAATGCACACTCCTACTGAACAAATAATACAGATAGCACAGGACAAACAAACCACAACTTTACAAACACTTACAAGAACAATTATGGTGCCTTAAACATATTTTCTTGTTGTCATCTTTACATTAGTTTGCTGTATAACATTATATAATGATTCATTGTCAATCACAATTGTACATTTTTTTTTATTTTCTAAAAATATTGACTGTTCAATAGATAATAGAATACTACTATTATTTTTATATTAATAAAATGAATTTTTGAATGCTTTCATTTTATAATAAATGAAAGCTGATTTCTAATTGATTTTTATTATAACAATTCTTACCTCTTAGAATATTTTATATGTATGATCGATAATGCTATGCCAAGTACTAAACAAATGCATCCAACAACTATGTATGCAATACCAAGAAACGGATTTTTTCCACCCAAAAGTGACGTTGTGCTTAGGATCATTCTTTTGGTACCATCAAAAGTAGACACGGAATATGCTAAATAAAATATATAAATAAATATAAATATGTAGTATATAAAAATATGTTCTCCTCTTCAAGAAAAATGTACATACAATATTTAACTTTAAGTTTGTAATTTCCTGCAAGTAAGCCTTCGGTAAAACCTTTTACAGAATGATCGACTCTTCGATATAATTTTCTAAATGTTGGCAAAGCAGCAGTTCTCATCCATACAATAAGATCTTCATTTTGAAACCCATTATTACTTGCATTATTTGGATCTAACTCGTAGATATATTTATCCCAATTTTTTGGTTTAGCAAATCTTTCACGAGAAAATATTTTTTCTAAATCACCATCCGGATTTCTAAATTTAATATTTTTATCAGAAGGCCATGCTATGCCAGTTTTCAATAATGGAACATCTTGTCCATTTCTAGTAGAATATAATGTTAATTCATCGCTAAAGAGAGAGTTTGCTATAGCTCCACATGGAACTATTGGTTTGGTAATATTATCTTCATTAACTTCATATGCAAATGGTTTACAATCGCCAGATACTTCATCGGATAATATTCCTAATAATTGATTATCATCTCTAGACTTAACATATCGACGATGATTTTGATAGAAATTTGTTAAGCCATAATACATATAAACTTCTCCATCGAAGTCTGTCGGTAATACAAAATCTATTTCACAGTAACAAGGAGTTTTTGGATTCTGTGCGATTACATCTATACACCTTTTACCACTAGTACTATTAGAATTACAATAGGTATAATCTATCGTTTGTTCTTTAACTTTATCAGAAAAGTATAATAATCCAATTCCAACCGGTATAAATGCAACTCCTATTACAAAAAATGTTGGTAAAACGGTTCCAGCGGTAAGAATGGGTTGCCAAGCAGGTAAACGTTGTTGTTTAAATGCACTATCTGTTAAAATAATAGACATATATCAAAAGACAATATAATGAAATAAAATATTTTTCATGACATATTTTTACAATAATACAAAAAGACTACAAGCATTAATGTTAAATTACTATTCTTACCTGATGGCTTTTTTGTTTTAGGTAATGAACTACTGTCACTCATTGGTGTCATAATTCTTAAATAAATGTAAAACGATAAAATTTTATATTTCGATATCTTCCTCTTCTTTCTTTAAACAATTATAAATAATATTAGTTTGAAAATCCTGAAAATATAATTATATTTATTTGTAAAGTAAACAACTCTGAAGTTTAGAATTCTTAAAATTGATAAAACCTTTCATACAGTGAACGAGTAATAATGAATTTCTTCTTTAGAGAGTTTTTTTTATTACTGATTGGTAATAATCGTGATAAATCTATGGGGTATGGAGCCTAGATAACAGGAGGGCGATCTCAATGTATTACAAATGTTCGTAAATGAGGGGACAGATATTTTGCCACTAGAGCGCGTTAGTGTGGCTAATATCAGGTTTTTAAAACCTAGTTTATTGTTGCGGGAATGTAACAATTGTACTCACGCGTTAGTCAAAATAAATTAACCAAATCTTATTAATTAACGTTAAAAATAGCAATAAGAAAAAATTTTTTATTATTTTACAATTATTTCCAAGATATTATCGTCAATTTGTTGTGTAAATCTATTCAATTTCATCTTACCTAGTCGCAGTTGAGTAAAGGATGGAAAACTAAATTTAAAAAGTCCAATTAAAAGTAAATTTTAATTTATTATCGTAAATTGCACTTTTTACAAGATTAGAAATTTCTATGGCATAGGTAGAGTTAAAAAATATTTGCATCATTTCATTTTTTTATATTAGTAATTAATAACTATCAATTAAGGTTATATTACCTGTGGTACAGTGAATAAAGACGTATTTCTCTGATTTAATTTAGCATTCTTATTACGATCTTGACTCGTCCACTTGTACACCCATGAACAATACATTTATTTACCATTTTTAAATAAATATTACTTTTTATAAATTAAAAAAACATTAATACAATTGCTAATGATGCAGTATTGTCAA